CCTACTGGAAGGGACCCATTTGCGGGGGCTAGCCGATGTACAAGTCGGTGTTCTTATCCTCCCAGACAAGTCTGGTACCAATTAACCGATCTCCGGAGGGATGGAAGATCTGATTAGCTCGCACGATGCATGACCCAGATGTCGATCCCCGGACCGTGCGATAGTAAGCAGTGCCACTTGCCAACACACCACTTTAGCCTTAGCATCCTACTTACTATAAAGCGCTTCGTCTGTCGTCTGTGTCGTCTGTCGTTCTGTATGTCTGTCACGAAATTCCCTAGCTCCTCGGGATCCGCCTGGAGGGACCGGGTCAAGTGTGGGATGGGTGGGCAAGGTCTCACGAAATACAAAACACACATCAGCTAAGCGGAGCCCCGCCCACAGAGGGCGTGGCGTGCGTCGAAATGAACTGTACCGAAGACCAAGATTTCGATTTCATTTCGTGACAGACAAACAGAACGACAGACGACAGGCAGACGACAGACGAAGCTTTATAGTAAGTAGGATGCTAAGGCGGAAGTGGTGTAGTGGCAAGTGGCACGCTTACCACGCGAGCGGTCCGGGGATCAAATCCTGGGTCGTGAGTCGCCCGGGCCAACCAAGCCTTCCATCCCTCCGGGGTCGGTTAATTGGTACCAGACTTGTCTGGGAGGATAAAAACACTGACTTGTACATCGGCTGGCCCCCGCAAATGGGTCTCTTCCAGTAGGGAGGCGCTGCGGATGTGGATCGCTGTGACAGGAAACGACCTTTGTGGCCGATGTTAGACTTTGCGATCCAGCGATTCGCCAGCGCAAGAAGCTATTGTTTTCAGGGAAGACTTCTAGAGGATTAAGCCCAGCTTTCGCAGCTTCGCGCGATTCAAGCGATTCACGCGATTTACGCGATTCGCGCGGATCGCAAAAATTGCAAGTGCCCCATTTGAACACACTGAATATGAAACAAGTGGAATCATGAGCAGTCGTCATTCAGCCATCACTATCAAGCAGAAGTGGCGGCAGGATTGGAGAACACCTTGCAGTATTGATCGGGCACTTGTGATTTCCGTGACCCGTCGCGTGAATCGCGTGAAATCGCGCAAATCGCGAAATCGCACGAAACCTGCGACGGATCGCGGACTCTGACACCAGCCTTAACCTTGCCTTATTGTTAGAAGTCTGATAACAAAGCTTATTCGGTATTTCAATCGCGTTGGGCACTGTAAACCGCAATGCCCTCACCCTTGCTTGGTGAGACCTTTTGTCACTATTAATCTATACTTATGTTCCTTACAAATTCTGTTTGTGCAGACCGTCGCCCATTTCATTGTCTGCAAAGTTCTACAGTTGCAGTGTAATCGTTTTCTGCTCTAAGTGTGACAGCCG